TATACAGTCAAACCAGTATAGATAAAGGGGAAGTTGCTCACAAGAAGAAGGCAGGCTGAGTAGGCCCCCAGCTTAACAGAAGAGATACAACTGAAATAAGTTAAAGAAGTCCTGCCTTTACTTTTAAGCTCATATCCCAAACCCCATAGAAATGCACTGAATGAGGCAAGGGAAGAGCTTTGTGGTTGTGTGACATGGAATTGGCATGGTGCTGGAACGCTATGAAATGGGAAACGTGAATCCTTTCCTTAACTTATGTCATTTTGTCCCAAACTATACTTCCTAGTTTAGCATCTTCATCTTTGGTGATCTGATCTCTGGCTGGATCCTTAGCTTCAACATCTACCACCTATATCCCTTAGCTTCTATCACTCAAGCCATGCTGAAGTATTTGTCATTACTTAAATACCTGGTCCTGTTTTATATCTCTTAGATACACGCTACAATGCTGTCTCAATGCTCTGTAACTAACAATCCTACTTGTTCTTCAAAATTCAGTCTCAATATTGTTTCCTCTAGGGTATCTTCCCTGAATCTGATTTTGATACTCTTATGCCCCCCTAGTATCCTATTCATGCTGCCATTATAGCACTAATAAAATTGTAATCATTGATTTGCATATTTATTACTTACTATAAGTCTCTCAAGGTTCCAGATCTTGTCTCATTCAAGTTGGCATCCCTAGCACGTAGCACAATACCTGGCCCACAGTTGGCACAAGATACATGATGAATGTGTGAATAAATTAATTAAATGTCAAAGGAAAGAAGGTAATCCATGATGACCTACATTGGTTGTGACTTGGCAAACTCTGTCCAATCATTCAAAGGTAATCATTCGGAAATAATTGCTAATCAGTGCCAGGGGAGGATATGTTCCATGGGAAGGATCTCTTGTGTTTGATGAGTTAAAACAGTAAGGACCTTGCATTCTGAGGGTGATATATTAACCAGAGTGATATGTTAGCCAGATACCAAATAAGGCCATCCATTTGACTTATGCAGTACATCTGATTCTTCCTGCTATTGCTCACAGAACCCAGGTTAGGGCTTCTGCATCTTTGTGAATGATCATTTTGTCTTGCAACAGACACCTCAGTCTGTTACCTCAGTCACTACATTTCTAGTTTGCAAAATTCTTGGCAGCCTAGTTTATAAACCTAAGAAGTAGTAAACCAACTTAGCCCACAAAAATATTTTAAGATGCTTAAAATACAAGCTTTACTTTGAAATACAGTGAAGACACCAGATTATTATGAATGTTCAAATGCCTGTTTTTTCTAGTTAGATTGATATGAACAGAAAAAGAAACAGGAAATTAATAATGAAGACTTGCAGGACAATAGAAAAGTGTTTAACATGATCTCAAATAGGGTAATTTGATCTTTCCTATTATTATCTTGTATGTACCTACAAATCAGAACAGGAAAAGGAATTCTTGGGAAAAAAATTAACTAAGATAAAATAAGATTGCATTCATCACTGAAGTTCAACTATAAAGAGGTTAAAGCTGTCCTGTAAACTCCAGATAAAAGGCTCATAACTCATTTCCACTGGAGGGTGATAAGACAAGCTGTTCTTTCCATGAGTGGATAAAACGAGTGTAGTCTTGTAAGAAGAAAACTAAAGATGAGTAAAACAAACTCCTTCTACTACTGGAAGATGAACTACACAGTTTAAATTATGTGACATTACTGTATTTTTTGACCTTTTATGATCAATAGGTAGAATTATTTCTTCTCAAATCTTCACTGTGTAAATACACAATTTCTTTCACATTTTATAATTTTTAAATTCATTAATTATTTACATAGAGTTTCTTTTATTTTTATGTATTTCTGTGTGTGCATATTATGGGTTTTTATTAATTATTTTCTTTTCCATCCAATTAATAACAGCTTATATGTGTTTTGCCTGTGCAGCTTCTGAATGCCTATAAATTAATTACACATTCCTTCCATTGTTGCAATAATGATAGAATAGGTGAGATTTTCATGTATAGATTATTTAAAGCTTTTAGGTTCAAGCAATGCCAAAAAACAGAGAGAAATACCAAACAAAACTCAATATGCTACTATAAGTCTCCGAAAGAATATCGTATCTGGACATTTAAAAAAAAATAAGGATAAAAAATTTCATTCACCAATTATGTTGGTTTTCTGAATATATCATTGTTAAACTCTATCATAGCTTGGTTTACCTAAGCCAAAAACAAATTAACAGCCTACATAAAGCTTCCTAAACAAGAATAAATGTCACAGTCTGCAATATGAATAGGCTTCCTTTAAGATCTATCATATTTTGGCTTAAGGCTTTTTCAAATATTTGACTGAGTTTTTACTATACTGCTTTTATCCCTAAAAGCATTTTGACAAAAGAATAAACTAAAGTTAGCACACAAGCAAGGGAATAATCTACCTACAAATTGGGCATCAAATTAGAGTTTTAGAAAAATTTTATGCTGGTATGTCAATATCTCCAATATTCATTGTTTATATTAGAATCACTAAAACTTCTACAGGTGAATAGCAATGGTATTAACATTTTTCACTTATCCAACAAATGTCTCTTGAGTGTACAGGAATTAAAGGTTAAGCCACATCGCCACTTACACAAGCCTCATTTCCAAGAAGTATATAGTCCAGAAGAGATGATTAGAGAAGTTTATAATAGCTATTAAATAGTATAGCTCAAAATACGGAAATCAGTGAAATATGGCCCAGAGGCGGGACAACTGTTTTTGTAATATAATTAATTTAATAATTTAATTATAATTTTTAATTTAATCAGGACAGATCCACATAAACTCATTTGTTTAGGTATTGCCTAAGCTTGCTTTCATGTTACGTAGAGCAGAATGAATACAGTGGAAAGTGTATACATAGCAAGCAGGATATATTCACTATCTGGTCCTTTACAAGAAAGTTCACTCATCCCTAATGATGACAATAGTAACTACCATATGAAGTTCAAACCAAATGACAAAATTGTTCATAGAAGAATGATATTTTTGCTAGGGAGTTATCATTTAAGTTGAACTTTCAATTATTAGTAAGAATTTTAATGAACAGATTCATTGATAATAGCCATCCCAGAAGAAACAAAACAAACAAAAAGTCGTATCAAAGACATACAAGCAATGCATATTTGATATATTTAGAAAATATCATGTTGTAGAGTTTGGTTGGGTGATAGGCTGGAAGAAGTGAATTCTAGTGAGAGTCACATGTCTGATATCCGGCAGATTCACCCCAGGACAGTCATACCAGTTGTTTATGGCTAGACTCGGCAGTGATGGCCTCTTTCCTGAAATTTTTTTACCAGTTCTTAGATATTCTTAATATCATCCCTGATAAAACCTATCAAAACCAATGAGAGGTAGCCAACAGAGCATTTGAAGGACAATTTATAGTCTAAAGTAAATTTATCATAAAACATAAAAGATATAGCATTGATCTCAAGAAGCTAGAAAAAGAACAATAACAAAACCTGAAGTACTCTCATATGTTGTTTATGGGAAAGTGAATCAGTAGAGCTGTGTCAGTGATAGTGGTAGGGTGGAGATGCATTTAGCCCGATCTATAAAGATTCAAGTGTCCTTTCGACTCCGCAATTCTACTCCTAAAATTCGATTCATAGACATGCCCCTACACATGTACCAAAAGATAGCAACTAGTGTGTTCACTGCAGCATGATTGTATGATCAACATTGGAAACAATCTTAGTATTTATGAAGTTTAATGTTTAACAGTATATCCTGACTCTAGAATACCATCTAGTTGATAAAACAATTATGTAGATCCACAAGCTCTCTCTCACACACACAAATGCCCATAATATGATAAAAAAGATAAGTTAATGAACAATATCCATAGCCTTACAATTTTCTTAGAAATTATATTTTTGTATACATGTGTAGCTAAATGTGTATATACATGTGCATGAATATATGTATGTGTGTACATGAATGCATGTGTGTTTGTGTATATACATGAGAAGGGGAGGAAAAAATATAACGAGGATGAAGTTTTGAAGTATATACAAAACTGTTAAAAGTGGTTGAACTTTTGCAAGAGGAATCTTACATTTTACTTTATATATTTTTGGTTTTTCTCAACCAGAATATTATTCTGTAGTTAAATGAAATAAATGAAACAAATAAAACTACGACAAATATCTCTGAATGTATACATTTCCTACTATTTCAGATATGAAGTTATTAGATGAAAGCTTATAAACATTTTAACGTTATTGATAAATAATGCCAGACTGTTTTTCAATGGTGCCAATAGTGTCTAATTTATCTGTTTTCTTTTTCAAGTTAAATGTTAGCAAGGACTATGTTGAGACCAGAGATTGGCATGCTCCTAGGCATAAAAGCCTCAGACTATAAACTTTGGAGCTCTACATTTATGGTCACAGTCATTTAGAATGTTTCCCAATCCTGGGTTCCCCAAAGCTAAATCCAAATGGAGGATCCAGTGATTTTTGGCATGTTTCTTACTGATCTCATGCCAGCTACTGGCATCACTTTACTGAGCAAAGGCACATGACATTTTTAGGTACTTAAGGAAAGAGCAACTCTAATTCAGAAAAGCACGACACAAGACAACACTCATGTTCGATACATGAAGTTAGGCTTGCTTCACTTCATATAACCCAAATTGGGACACAACTTGAATACTTAAATCAAAGTCAAGGCCACTTGAGAAACCAGCTCCTGGCTTCAACCCCCCAGTAGGTTTTGTGCACACCATATCTGGTTCCCTCCACCCCTGTGCACCTGAGATAAAAATAGGATGTAATGCTGAAACCCAGGGTACCTGTAATTAAACCAGGGTCAGAGCCATGGTCTCTTAACCTTTAAGCAACAGCTTTATCCCTCCCTTAGATATCTTTATAAACCTCAGCCTACATCACAGTGATGGAAAGCATGAATTCTGGAGCCACACCGACTCTATATGCCTGCTGCCTTCCAGCAGTGATCTTTAAGTAAGTCAGACGCTCTTTTCCTTCCTGACTATCTGAATATAGGCCGCCATCATGAATGACACCTTAACTATCCACACTAGAAAGTTCATGACCAACTGACTACTTCAGAGGAAACAAATGGTCATTGATGTCCTTCACCCCGGGAAGGCAACAGTGCCTAAGACAGAAATTCGGGAAAAAGTAGCCAAAATGTACAACACCACACCGGATGTCATCTTTGTATTTGGATTCAGAACTCATTTTGGTGGTGGCAAGACAACTGGCTTTGGCATGATTTATGACTCCCTGGATTATGCAAAGAAAAATGAACCCAAACATAGACTTGCAAGACATGGCCTGTATGAGAAGAAAAAGACCTCAAGAAAGCAACGAAAGGAACGCAAGAACAGAATGAAGAAAGTCAGGGGGACTGCAAAGGCCATTGTTGGTGATGGCAAAAAGTGAGCTGCAGATTGGATCACAGCCGAAGGAGTAAAGGTGCTGAAGTAAAGGCTACCTGTGTCCATTTTGGATTTTTCACGAGCAGATTAATAAACTAAAAACTTTCAAAAAAAAAAAAAAAAAAAAAAGGTAAGTCAGACTTCAATTTTCTAATGTGTAAAATGAGGATACTAATAGGATAGTGAGTCCTGTCATATCTTTGTTCATGGAATCCAAATATTCAATCCTATAACATACGAGAAGGTATTATTGCCAGATTAATGAAATGACCAAAGTTAGCTAGCTGGCTGATAAGTTCAAGGAATCTGGAGCCAACTGCCAACCACATCTAAACTTGTAGGACACAGTATCATGGGATTTTTACCACAAAGTTGCTATGAAGACTGAGTTAAACACCAAGAATAGGGAGTTGCATAAAGTATGATGAGTATATAATGTTGCCTATTATCATTATGACTTCTGTTACTATCACCACTCCTACACCTCCACCACCACAGCACTGCAAAGCAGACAAAGCCAAGAAAGAAAATTTGCCAATGACCAAGCAACCAGAAGATGATAAGCAATAACAGAAAGGATATTTCTGTGTATTTGTTAAAGGATAATCTGTCTAATTTGTGCTGACTACTCTCCACTCATCCCAAATTTTCCTTTTGCCGAAAGTCAACTGCTAAACCCTGGGAGGGAATAAGGCCAAGACTTGAGGCCAGCGTTCAAGAGAGACTCTGTAAAAGTGATTGGATTTATATTAAGCATACTATCCATCTATAAACCAGTCACCTGGTTTGCCACACATGGCTAGCTCTGGAGACCAATGCTGTACTCTAGTAAGCATCATGCCGTTTTAACAAATATTGACAACCTGAAGTCTGTGTACCATAAGGTATAGAATTTTGTTCCTACATGAGAGTTTTAGGATTTCTGAGGGGAAAAAGTGCTGTTTTGCGACTGGAAAACTTAAGGGCAGCAGTGGCCACACGACCCTTACTAATATCGTGACATTTAACCTGGTACTGTTGCAAATAAATCATGTCACCATAGACTCCAGTGACCTATGCCTCAAATTTCCTCGTTCAAGACAGAAGTCCCAGACCAGAATGTGGAAAAGCAATACACACAGTGCCTTCATGCCCATGGACATGCAAGTTACTCTTGGCAAATATAGTTATTGTGGAATTAACTTGCTTTCTCTACTCGAGGCAGTGAGTTTCATAATACAATGGCAATAAAAGAAAGCAATCAGAGCTAAGGGCAGTGAGGACTTTTACATGTTTCCTACCTCTTTCTTGTTGTGCATTAAACAAGACCAGATGTTTCAACAAAGAAATGAAACCAAAGTCACACTACATTTGATTTGTGGGACCACCCTTACTTGAAATGCCATCTCATCGTTCCAAGGTTTGAAAAATGATGTGCATAACAAGCAAGATAAGATATGTGAACATTCCTTCAAAAAAGTCATTCATTATATGATCCACAGATGGTAAGAAAATGCTTTCCAAGTAGGGATAGAGAAATGTAACGATTATTTGCTTAGGGATTGAGACAAGGCAGACTCTCTCATCCTTCTCCATGCCTGTGTCCTGAAATGACGGAGTACATGTGAATGGCACAGCAGGGGCAGTGAAGTTAAAGGTGAAAAGCAGAACTGAATCCACAAAAGCCAGGAGAAGAGTGAGCAGAGCAGATCAAAGCAAAAGATCTTGGGATTATATAGAGTGTCCACAGTTTCCAGGGAAGCACAGTTCTACGAAAGGTTAATACAGGCAGTCACAGCACATGCGCATTTAATTTATGGCACTTCATCTCCGTATTTGTGGATGGACTCCTTAGGGGAGAGAAAAAAAAGGAGAGTGAAGGGAAAAGATGACAGAGAGAGAAAAGGAGAGAGATTGACAAAGGGACAGATATAGACAGAGACATATAGATATACAAAGAAAAGGAGAGAAAAAGATACACAGATATAGATGCAAAAAAAAAAAAAAAGAAAGAGTGCAAGAGTACAGAAAGAATGAGAAGCAATTATTGATTTAAATTTGTGGTCACTTACTAATTCCACCGCTATTTCATGAATACATTTATAAAAGAAAGTAAACTCAAGTCCTGAAATATGAATCTGCCTTCCCCTGATCACTCTCGGTTCTCTTGTGTCCCTACGTAAGTGAACCTCTTGTCAGGTTGAGATCAGTTCAAGCTTTTAAAAATACAGCATGTATTCCTCAAAAAGCGCATTCATAAATTATCTTATGTGCAACAACAACAACAAAACAGAATGCTAGAAAAAAAAAAATAACTGGCTGTGTTGGATTTTAAATTTCTGATAGTTGCCTTAAAATTCGGAATGTAACCCCAGTATTAGATGAACACTAGACGTGTTATTCTCCACAAGACTATGTGTTCACAAAGTTTGGGAAAGGGTGGGTTCAGGAAATTTAAACAGGTGTCCTGCCTTCAGACCTTCTCAAATCCCTTAGTATCCTATCCAGCATTAGGACTCTCTACCATGCAGGCGGACTATGGGAAACCAAACTGACTTGATTATAGAACCCTTTTCTTTTTCAGAGTGTGCTTCACAGCACGAGCACACTGTGGAGCACACTTAGGAATCTCTGATGCAACTCAAGCATTCTCACTTCCAAATAAGGAAACCAAGGCCTCTCTAAGGGCATACATCTGGCTATCCAAATGCTGCAACAGGATGGATGGCCCTGATTGATTTAATGATTGCTATGGATATGTTTTATTTCTTCATACCCTTATTTCTTCACCCCTAGGTCACTAAAATGGCCAATCCCCCTAATCTTGTCTTCTGCTAGTCAAGTGTATATGTTAAAATCAAGCAAACCTTTCTAAATGTAGATTTCATTGCAATGCTCTTATGCCTGTTACTCTATAGTGGCTTCCAATAGCCTATAAGAGTAAATCTCAAACTTTCTCCAAATACATGAATTAAATAGAAAATCTCAAACTTTCCCCAAACACTTGAATCTAAATTACATGGCACCCCAGGAACACATGCCATATTCACATATCTTCTAGCATAATGCCAAAGTTTTTTGGTGGTTTGCATACTGTGGTATGAGACACAAACTTAGAATATCAAGTGCTTATTCCTCAACCAATCTGGCAGTGCACCTCACACTCAGACCAATTTTCTGTTCTACCTATGTCCTTCTCTCCTTGAAGGCTGTCTATAGAACATGTAGCAGTCTACAGAAAACATTATTAGATTCTTTAAACCTAGGCTGATCGGAGATCTCAATTTCAATTCAGAGAAGAGCTATTTTAGAGAACTGGAGAATGATATTCTCCTGTCAGAGCTCTCCGGAGATAATAAGAGAACCTAACAAACAAACCCACCTCAAATCTGTTTGCACATAAAAGATAATGTCTAGCTTTGCTTATTAGCTCTGTTTATCAACCAGTGCCATGCTCACTGGCCCCATTAACCTACTGAATCAAGGTTATGATTTGAAAAGAATGCCTATGACATGGACCACAGGAGCAGCAGCACTCAGGAGTGATAACACAGTAGCACTGTTGATATATAACATCAGAGATAGATTTGGACTCACTGGGAGTTGGACTGTGCAAACTAAAAGGTTTTATGTTTTGTTTTGGTTTGCTTAGCTTTGCTTTACTTTTATCTAATAACAGAAAAACTCAGTGGAAATAAAACATTAGTTAATCTATGTAAGAAAAATAGAATAACAGATGAACGTCAGAGCCATCAACATGGACGAATATGCCAGATGCTGCTCCCTGAAGTGCCACGTGACAATACATTTTCATCACATCAATTTGCCCCAAGGAGCACATCTTGAGTGATTTTCCCCTCCAGCGTTAGCCTAATAACAACTTGGAAGGTGGGGCTGAAGGAATTCACTCCTGTGACTTTCTTTGGTTTTATGTTCATCAGGAAGAGAAAATCTTCCCATAAAACAAACAAGCAAATCTTAAAGTGTTAGCACACATATATGATTTATAGGCCTCTCATCCTTAACCAGGGTTTTCAGAATTTCACTAAAAATCAAAACATTTAAAAAAATACAGAAGATTGAAATCTCAGATTCAAGTGTATTTAAATATTTCAGTGGAAAGGATCCAATTCTACCATACATGTATTTCCCATGCATTTAATAACAGTTTCCTGTGTTTCAAAATCCTTAATTATTGAACTATAAAGCCTGAAGTTTTACTAGAAAGACATATTTGACTTTGTCTCTCCAGATATGACCTTATCCGGGTCCCCCCAGCTTATTCAGAAGATGACCTACTTTACTGAGATTCAAGTTTTCAGACATGATCTATTTCTACTCCATCCCAACACAAAATTTATCTTTGTTCTTATCACTGTCTCTTTCTTCCTCTCTTAAAGAAAGAAGTGATTATGGATTAGGTTTCCTAAGGACAATTGCTCCACTTGTGCCCTTGATCTGTTCAATATCTGCCCCCTCGACCCAGGATTTACCTTTAACGGCATTTTTTTACCCACGTTCTCACATCTCCTATTCTTCACTGCCACCTCCTCCTTCGACTCAGATCACAAATATGCCCAAGCCTCCCTATTTCACAAACACGTTCCCTTAATTATGTTATCCCACATCAGTATCTGCCCCTTTCTTTTCTAATTTTAAATCTCAAGCTTTTTTTAAAAAGTAGGCTACACTAATGCCTCTAGTTCTCACTTCTAAGTCTTCACCCCCGCTTCACCTGACCTCCAGCTGAAACTATTTTCCCGAAGATCAACAATGACCTAAAATTATTAAATGCAATGCATTTTTTTCCTCAGTCTTCAGATGCCTTAAACTCTTTCCAATATATGAAATCACTAACAACTCCTTTTGGCATGACATTTCATATTCCCTTTCCTATAATAATATTCATTTCTGTTTCTTCCATCTCTCTGACAAATTCTCACCATCACCACCCCCACCGCATATTCCCTAGGATTCTATCTTTCAATTCTTTTATTTCTGTAATATCCCTCTTAATCTTGTTTGTGCTATGATGATCACTGCCAAATATCAGCAAAATGACAAAATAAATCATAGTACCCACCTTATAAGTTATTGTAAGAATTTAACGAGTCAGTACATTATGATACAAATACCCCCAAAGGGTTTCT